GAAAACTATAGCACTAAATGCTTACATTAGAAAAGAGGAATGATCACAAGACAATAGCCTAAGTCCTATCTCAAGAAGCTAGAAAAAGAAAGACAAAATAAATCCAAAGCAGATAGAAAGAGGAAAAAAAACCCAAGATAACTGAAGAAATTGAAACCGGAAAATAATAGAGAAAATCAATGAAACCAAATATCTACTTCTTTAAAAAGAACTAATAAAATGGATACACCTCTAGTAAGACTGACAAAGGTAAAGAAGAGAGAAGACACAAATCATCAATATCAGGAAAGAAATAGGAGACTTTACCACAGAACTTGCTTGCAGCCATTAAAAAAATAAGAAGAGAACACTATAAACAACTTTATACTCATGAATTCAACAACTTAGAAGAAATGGATGAAGTTCTCAAAAACTACAACTATAAAACTCAACCAAGATGAAATAGATAACCTAAATAGTCCTATAACAACTAAAATTGTGCAATTAAAAGGTTCTCAAAACATAAATCTCCAGGTCCAATGGCTTTACCATAGAATTTTACCAAATATATAAAGAATTACATTTTTATATAATGTCAACAAAAAAGTAAAAGAAAGAGCAATCCTTAACTCGTTTTCTGAGACTGCTATCATCTTGATACCAAACCAGACAAAGATATCATAAGAAAAGAAAACTACAGACCAATATCTTTCATTAACTTAGAGGTAAAACTCCCAGTAAAGTGTAGGCAAATGTAATTCAATGATAATATAAATAGAATTAAACACCATAACCAAGTAGAATTTATTCCAGGTATGTAAGGCATATTCAACATTCAAGTCAGTGTAATCCACCATATCAACAGGCTAAAGCAGAAAAATCATATGATATCAATTGACACAGGAAAAACATTTGACCAAATCCAACACCCATGTATAGTAATTCAAAAAAAAAAAAAACCTTCCCAGTAAGCTAGGAATAGAGGGGAACCACCTCAACATGATAAACAGCATTTACAAAAAGCTTACAATCAACATCATACTTAACAGTGAAAAACTGAACAAGGGAATGTCTGCTCTCACCACTACTCTTTAGCATAGTTGAAATTCTAGCCACTGCAATAAGGTAAGAAAAGAAACAAAGGGCTAATAGATTGAAAATGAAGAAATAAAACTGTCCTTATTTGCCAATGACATAATTGTCTATATAGAAAAATCCCAAGAAATACACACACAAACACACACACACAATCAGAACTAGTAAGTGAGTTCAGCAAGATTGCAGAATAAAAGATCAACACACAGAAGTAAATTGCATTTCTACACATATAAATGAACACTTTGCAACCACAGTTAAAAACACAATACCATTGATTATTGCTCCAAAGAAAATGAAACACTTAGATGTAAACTTAACAAAGCATGGACAGGATCTGTATGGCAAAAATTATAAAATGCTGAAAGAAATCAAAGAAGACCTAAGTAAGGGAGATATAGTATGTTTATGGGTTGGAAAACTCAACGTAGTGACCTGGATTCTGACCTCAGCTTGATGCACCTTGGGTTGGATGCAGTGGTCTCTCTCTTTCTGCCTGATCTGCTCCATCTTTACTTCCTTACATTGGTACCAATGCCATAAAGGAGACTCACCTACAAAGAGGCACTAGGGGATGTGGCAGCTTTCCCCAGCTGAGGTATCCAGTCAGCTCAAGTTAAACCTTTGCTAGGGTTTTTTTTTTTAATATGAAATGCTTCACGAATTTGCATGTCATCTTTGCTAATCTTCTCTGTATCATTCCAATTTTAGTATATGTGCTGCCAAAGCAAACTCAAGGATCTTGTCTTAGATGGTCCCATCAGAGACCAAGTTGAAGGGCTAGTTGTATTTGGGAAGTATCCCAGGGATGTGGAGTGTAGGACCTGGGAAGTGGGCAGAAAAAACATGAGAGGCAACTCAAGGATGCATTCTGAGTTACCCACTGCTAAGGGGACGGGTGTTCCACCTGACCAGAACCTTCTGAAGAACTTTTTGAAATGCCTTTCAGAAGTGTCCTCCTGGGACTCAGGTGGAAAGCAGCTCATCTTTTGTCTGTCTCCCTCCACAGGTCAAGGGTGGTCCTGGGTACACATACCCCTGCACCTTGAGCCCATAGCTGTGTGGGTGCTCAGTGGGTTCCCACGGGTGTGGCCACCTGTCCTGGCATCAGGAAGTCTGAGACAGGAAGTGAGGCATGTGGTGTGGGGTCCAGGAGAGGGAGAGGGGAGTCCCTGCGGGGCTTGTTTGTCACAGCCGGAGGTGGCAGTGACTAGGGCAGGAGCTGTGGATGTGCAGATTGGTGTGGTGTTCAGAATGTGTCCAACACCATGGAAGGCTGGGACTCCAGGCCCTGGAAGGTCTCGGCAACCATGCTACAGTCCTCGTCCCTGAGCAGCTGGAGGGAGGGACGCCCTTGCCACCCCTGTGTCTCTGGCTGGTGAGGCACCCCTCCTGCCCTCTCACTGTACTCACACTTCCTGCATCACACAGCATCATGGTTGCTGTCTTGTCTCATGTCCCCCAGGCTGTCAATTCTATGCCGGAAAGAGCTCCCACTCACACGGACTATACTCATTGCTGTCCTCAGCGCTCTGTGTGGATTCCCTCATGGAAACTTCACAGCTGAAAGAAACAGGGCCCAGAGAAGTGAGGCAATTTGCCCAAGGTCACACAGGTGGTTCAGTCCCAGACACTGTGGACCACGACCCTCCAGGTCCCATGGGAGAGCAGTCTGGGAGGGCTGTGTTCGCTGCGAGGACCCAGTGTGGTGATGGGACGTGCAAGGTGTTGTAGGAACACAAAGCGGGGCGATGGGGACCATAGGGAGGGGAGGGAAGGGGGCAAGGTGTTGTAGGAACACAAAGCGGGGCGATGGGGACCATAGGGAGGGGAGGGAAGGGGAGGGGAGACAGAATGGGTGAGGGGAGAGGAGATAAGGGAGAAGAGAGGGGATGGCAGAGGGGAGAGGGGATGGGAGGAGAGAGGTTGGGGGAGAGGAAGGGATGGGGAGGGGGGATCAAGAGAAGAAGGAAGGAGCAAGGAGGAAAGAAAGGAGAGAGGAAAGAGATGAGGGAGGAAGGGGAGATGAGGGAAGGAGGCAGGACTGAGCAAAGAGGTGGGAAGGAGGCGCAGCTCTGAGCAGGGCTCACGGGCCCTGGAACACATGGCATGAAGCGGAGCAGAGATCCCTGAAGCTGCTGTGTGGGCAGGGCTGATCCGGAGGAACCCCATCCAGCAGGGGTGAGAAATCATCAACACATGGAGGCAAGGAATGTGACAAAACCAGAGCTGTCACTGGCATCGGCTGTCGTGTGAAGCTAGCCTGGAGCAGGGTGGGCCTCCTGCAGCAGAGAGAGCGGGTAGGAAGCCACTGCAGGGACCCAGGGAAACAAAGATATGGCCCCAACCAGGGGGCACAAGGGAGAGGTCAAGACATGGTAGGACTCAGAGAGAGGGAGAGGGGAGGCAGGAGGCAGTGGAAAGTTCCAGGCTTCTGCCAATGGTAGATGGTGACCTTTCCATCCCAAACTTGAAACGATTTAATGAGTGCCTACTGGGTGCCTGGCCCTGGACCAGGCCCTCGAGATAGAATCTAGCTTCTTAATTACCACAAGGCCTCCAGTTGGGTTTGTCCCTCCTCATTTTACCCAGGAGGAAGCCTCGAGAAGTTCCCAGGGGCAGGGAGCATGGTGCGGACAGACCTGGGGGTTCTGTGTGACCCCAGAGCCCGAGTTCTTTCCATGCACCATGAAATTACCCCCAGGTCATTTCCCTCGCGAAAGAGTATGACACGGTGACAGCTGACCCGGCTCTGAGTGTCCTAGTGGCCGAGAGCCAAGCTACAAATCACACCCAGTCACCACGAAAGCCAAAAGAACCAGCTCCCCTGCGTGGTCTGCTTACTCCAGCTGTCTCAGCTCCACCGGATCTATTGACGATTCACTAATCCAGCTGATAGCTGGACACTGACCCACAATCTCGGCGGAGCCGGAGATGACACGCAGCCTCTACCCGAGCCCTTGGCTGTGCCAGAGGTAGTTCACGGTCAAAGAGTCTCCTTCAGAAGCAGCAGGATTTACCTGGCCCCGGGGGGTAGGGGTGGGGGTGCCTGGATAGCAGAACACCAGGCACCCCACGTGTTTTCATCCCTCTGTGACCAGTCCCTTTTTTCAGTCTTCCTCTTGTGACCCACCTGCTGATGCCCATCTCGGGTGATTTCATTTGTGACCACAAGCTGAAGTGGCTGAGTGCTGGCCCCCAAAAGATACGTCCGTGTCCTAATTCCTGGGATCTATGAATATGACCCTATTTAGAAGAAGGGTCTCTGCAGACAGAATTAAAGACCTTGTGAGGAGGAGACAGTCCCAGAGTATCCCAGTGTCCCCTGAATCTTATGACAAGTGTCCTTTTATAAGGGAAGGTAGAGGGACACTGGAGACAGAGAGACAAGGAGGGGTGATGTAAGCATAGGGATTGGAATGATGTGTCCACAAACCAAGGGATGAATGGGGCTTCTAGAAGCTGGAAGAAGCAAGGAAGGATCCTCTCCTACAGCTTTCAAAGAGACAGCAACCCCGACGACCCCTTGCTTTTGGACATCGGGCCTCCAGGACTGGGAGAGAATTAACGTCTGTTGTTTTAAGCCGCCCAGCGCGTGGTCACTGGCTAGCACACAGGCTGACTTGTGCTTTTGACTGTCCAGTGCGAGTTGCTATTTGCAGGAGAATTTGTGATCTCATCCCTCAGGCCCACGAGCCCATCGGGTCCTGCTCTGCCCTTGGCTGGAAAGGGAATCCCGAGGCTGCCTCTGCCTCTTGGGTGTGGAGCTCTGGGCCAGATGAGAAATGGGCCTATTTATAAACGAACAGAGCCAGAGGGCGGGTGTGGGGTCGGCCGAGGGCTTCACCAAGGTCATAGACCCAGTCCCTTGGGATGGAGGCATTGCCAAGAAGAGCCAGGCTCCCGAGGAAGTAAGCGGGGGGCGGGAGCACGCGGGCCTCTCTGAGCGGTGGGGCTGTGGTCCATTTCTGAGCAGCCTAATGCAGGAATGTCCAGCTGGCTTCCAAGTCATATCTGGTTTCCCGGGCAAAGGGCTGGGTGGGAGAGGATTCTTTCCCACTGCCTCACTGCCGCTCCGAGAAAGGAAGCGTGAGCGCCCAGGGCGGGTGCCCCTCGGGCAGCTCGTGTCCCGTCTGCGGGCAGTTGTGCCCTCCACGCTCCTGCCACCTGGAAGGGGACGCTGCACATGGTGAGTGAGCCCCTCGTTTCGCACCAGAAAGATCACTCTCTCCGCAGGGCCAGGTCGGGGGTACTTACGGGGTGGGATCTCAGCCCCAGGCTGCCCCAGGGAAGGCGGGAAGCTGTGTGGCAGTGCCAGGGATGTGGGTGGACAGGGACTCTGCCGATTAGAGCCTGAGTGGGAGGGATCAGGGTCTCCTCTCAGCGCGGCTGGTGCTGGACACAGCTGTCTGGCGGAAGTCACAGCATACAGGCTGCCTCACCCGGCCCCACCGGCAGGCCTGTGCCTGGGAGATGCCCAGCTCTTCTGCACCAGGGGTCTTAGGCGCAAGCAGAAGGCTTTGCTCCACAGCAGGAACAGCCTCTGACCAGCCAGGAGGCCCACCTCGGTTACATCTGTGACCATATCATGTCTCTGAGTCTTGTATGTCTTGAAGCGCTTCTTGTAAGAGTGAATTTCTGTAGAGTGAGTAGCTGAAGCAGGGAGAAGAATGGGGGCAGACGTTCACCTGCTTGAGTTCAGAGAAAAGAGCTTTAGTAAACTTTGAATCTCTGCTTCATCTCCTTCTTGCTGTGTGACCTTGGACAAGTCACTTAACCTCTCTGAGCCTCATTTCTCAGTTTGTAATATGGCCTACTTTGCTGAACTGTGGGGAGGTTAAATGGGACAGTATGTGTGACTGAAGCTCCACTCCCCATCCATAGAACCTGGGCTCATTTCCCAGGTCTTCAGACATCTTCTTTTCTGTTTAACCTTTGTGTCTGAGAAAGTCTGCTGGAGCGGCAGGGGCCCTGTCCACCCCAGCTGTGCGCCCAGTGACATGGAACACTCAGTGCAGCACTGTGAATCAGGGCTGGCCTCTGTCTGCTGGGGACACTCAGTGGGACATTCATGCAACTCACGTGGGACGTATAGGCTTGGCTACCTACAGCCCACAGACCCCTCCTCCACCCTCGTCCCCTGACTCTGGGCTCTGGCCCAGCTGGTCCTGGTCAGAAGACCCAGATTCCAAGCCTGAAACCAAACCCGTGTCTTTATCATTCACTTGTCGAGCCCTGTCTTTCCTGTCAAAATCTGGCTATGACCTGCTCAAGGTTAAACTTATATTGAAGTAGATGCAGAATCTGCCCATGGTAGGGGCTGTCTATGGAAAAGGACTTACCACCTCCACTACAGAGACAAGGGCCCTGCTCCCTGATGCTTTGTGGCCTTGGACAAGTCATCTTCATCTTTAAAATGCGTACAATTATATCTAAGTCTCAGAGTGACTATAGGTTTATCGTTGATCACCCAGCCTGGCCCCTGCCACACAGGAGTTCCCCGTTAATCTTGGGTCCCACCCCCTCCTCTTGCCTTGAGCCCCATTTTGTGTGAAGTCAGCAATGTGGCTCGGGCCCCACACACAGGAGCAGGCTGGCTCAGGGAGGGCCCAAGAGCCAGGAGACCAGGGAAGCTGGAGGGGGCACTACCTCCCTTTTCTGGGTGCTGACAGTCCCAGCAGGGGGCTCACCGCAGGGGCTCACCCCCAAGAAGGAGAGATAAGAGGGCGTCAAATGCCAGCATGGTCTCTCCAGGGTCTAAGGGAGGTGTCCTCACGCCTCTGCCCCGGGAAAGTCATCCCACTGAGGCCAGACTGGACTTGACCCCCACAGCACATGCACACACATAACCCACCCATCTCCCCAAGTCTCCCAGCATCCAGGCGTGAGGTCCCCTAGTCACCTTCTGTCTCACATCCACTTGGTGGTCAAACCTAATACCGACCAATGGCTGCTTCCCTCCAAGGCCCCTGCGCTGCAAGGTCAGGCCCTTGCTGTACCTGCCACACTGTTTTGCAGCCTCCTAGAGCCTCCCCGACCCTGTTCCTGCCCTTGTCCTGAACTTGACAGGGAGCTCAGAGAACTTCTGCTCCTGACCTCAGAGCAGGGCAATCATGCGAGTCTGGACACCACCCTTGCACCTGCAGTACAGGAGGATGCTCTGAGAATGTTTCTGTTTGGAGCCTGGGTTTTTCTTACAACCTTGAGACTAGAGAAACAGACACCACACCCTTAAGTTCAAGCATCCCAGAGAAGAGCTCGAGTTCCCACCTCCCATCCCAGCCCCCACCCCCTCCAAGCCCTGGCTCGTCCCGGGGCTGGCATCTCACAGGCCCTGCGCCAGCATTGAGCCAACAACTGGCCTCTCCCGACACGCACACGTGCACATGCGTGTGCACCCACACACTCCTCCACACACCTGCATCTCCACAGCAGGGATCGAGGAAGGGAGGGGCTGTGCCCCCGTGTCTGTCCATGAATGAGAACCTCACCTTCGCACGTGGCTGGATGCAGTGCTTCCCACCCACATGGGTATCCATCACCTTCAGCAGAACCTCCGTCAGCTCCAACGGAAGCTCTCAGGGGTGCTGCTCCCAACCCCTTTGCAGGCACAGCCCTGCCAGGCTGCCCAGGTGAGTGGCAGAGTGAGGGCAGCCTGTGGGAGGACCCACTCTGACTCCAAGGATGCAGCCGGGGCTACGGTGACCTAGGCAAGATATTTGCTTGGTGCCTTAGCTCAGGCTGCCCAGGAGAGGTGGGCCAGCCATCTCCATCAGTCCCCACCCCCTGGATGCTGAAGGAGCTTTTCAGCCTGCCTGGGAAGGTGCACCGGGTCATCCCTAAGGTCCCCAGAGGTCCCAGAACCCCGCCAGCCCGCAGGAGCCCCCAGGAAGGGACTGTACCAGCACTTCTGGAGCACCTGCTGGCCGGGCCCTGATCCCCACCAGCAGTTCCCACAGCGCGGACCACTGTCGCAGTACCAGCATCACCTGGGACCTTGATAGGGAGGCAGGTTCTCAGGCCCCAGCCCAAATAATGTTTAAACAACCTCCCTCCCCATGACTCCAGGTTGAGAGCTTCCGCCCACACCACCCACTGGGCCCTCCCTGTGTCACCCTGGAACTTACCCCTCTTCTGCGGGCACCTGGGCCCCACCGCGCTCGCCGGGGAGCAGACATCCCAGGAGCTCGGGATCAAGTCGCCTTCCCTCGGGCCTATCATCTTACTGACTGTGACACAGGCCCTGCCAGGAAGGGCTGGAGGCACGATTTGAACTCAGACCTGCTTACAGGTGTGGGCAGCTGTAAATCAACATGGGCCGAGAATAGCCTGGGGGCTTACGAGGGTGAATACGCAGGCCCACAGTAGGAAACAGGCCCAGTCAGCATCACCAGGCCCCCTCGGAGAAGGCTTTCTCGGCACCCCATCCATTCCAGAAAAATCCCAAATGGTTGCCACGTGTTAATCAGATTTGTAAAGCAGTGGCCAGGGCAAGGTCACTTTTGGGTACCTCACTTGAACCTCTCAGCGATTCTGGCCACAAGGGGAGATCAAGGGTGCTGTGGGGGCCGGGGACGGGGGTTGCGTCCCACAGACCTCAGTGAGGGGGCAGAGCAGAGCTGCTGGGGGCCAGGGGGGTCTCCTCCAGAAAGGAAAGGAGCTGGGGGAGGTGGTCTGGATCAGCTGGTGCCGCTGGATACCTGAGGCATCTGATGGATCGGACCAGCAGGTTCAGACAGCAGCAATCCTGGGGGCGGGGGCTCACACCCGCTGTCCTGCGAGTGTTGGCTCCCTTCCCTTACACCTGGAGGGCTGGTAGGGGCAGAGCTGTCTGCGGGGCCTGCCTCCAAGGGTGACTGGAGCCAGGAAGGACAGACAGAAGAGAGCCATCGTCAGCAGACAAAGAGGTCATTAAAACAAAAAGTTGAAAAGATAACTCCCATGTATATCACAAGATGTTCAGACAAATTAAACATGTTTAGGCCAAATGCCAGGGATAAAATCCCAGCTCTAGTAGCTGAAGCCTTGTGATCCCGGGCAAAGGACTGGATTTCTTTAGGCCCTAGTTTCCTGGCTGCAGTGGCCTGAACGGTGGCCCCCAAGAGATAGTCAACATCCTAACCCCCAGAACTTGTGAATGTGACCTTATCTGGAGTCTCTGCAAGTGTAATTAAGTTAAGAATCCAGAGATGAAGAGATTATCTTAATCATCCAGGTGGGCTCGAAATCCAGGGACAAAGTCTCCTTTTAGAAGCACTCAGAGGAGAGAGACATACAGAAAAGGAAAGCCCATGGGGAAAAGGATGCAGAGTTTGGAGGGATGCAGCCACAAACCCGGAAACAGCTGGAGGAACCAGAAGCCGGACCAGCCCTTGAAGGCAGCTCAGCCCAGCCGACACCTTGATCACAGACTCCCAGCCTCCAGAATTCTGAGAAAATACAAGTCTGTTGTTTTAAATCCCTCTGTTAGCAGTAATTTGTTACAACCGCCACAGGAAGGGTTCACAGAAGAAAGAATATAAAGAGGCAACAAGAGGGGGTCAGCTTAGGTCACATGCATTTATGCAAAAGAACAGCACGCAACCACGCAAAGACGTTTGTGGACAGTCATTAAGGATGAGGCTGGTGTTCACATTTTAATATCAAATCGGAAAAACAGAGTACCAGAATATTACATTGAAAATGTATATGAATCCAACTTTGTTTTTATTTTTGATCTGATTTGACTTTATACTGTATATAATTTTTGGGGGGTTTTATTTTTTATTGAAGTATATACAGTGTATGATGTTGTGTTCATTTCTGGTGTACAGCATAATGATTCAGTTATACATATATATGTTCTTTTTCATATTCTTTTTCATTATAGGCCATTATAAGGGATCAAATATTGTTCCCTGTGCTATACAGTAGGACCTTGTTGTTTATCTATTTTACATATAGTAGTTATTATTTGCAAATCCTGAACTCCCAATTTATTGCTGCATCCCTGCCTTTCCCCCTGATAACCACAAGTTTGTTTTCTATGTCTGTGAGTCTGTTTCTGTTCTGTAAAAAAGCTCATTTGTCTCATTTTTTAGATTCCACGTATTAGTGAAAGCATGTGGTATTTTTCTTTCTCTTATTGGCTTACTTCACTTAGTATGACAATCTCCAGGTCCATCCATGTTGCTGAAAATAGCATTATTT